AATATATAATTTTTAAGATTTTTTCAGTTTAAAGGCCAGATCTTAAAGTGGAAGAAGGAGATCTAAGTCTCTAGCCTAGAGAAAAAATGTGAATTAAAACTGTCACTGCATGCAACTTAAACTGGCCATTTTGGAAAGAAGAAATATTGAAGATCACATCAAAGTACAAGATGTGATCTTATAACTTGTACTAAATGCAAATATCAGTGATTTTTCGCACAGCTTATTGTCATTAAGGGAATTTTAACTTTGTTATTTGTACTTGTAGTGGGCCTATTTGTGAATATGATGCTTATGTGTTAAAATCTTTTAATCTCTACAATCTTTTTAAATTTCTAACAGGATTACTTATATCTGCTGCACAGTCAGCATCAGGTCTTTGATAGAATTTCTCTTTACTAAAACATGTCAAAGGATGGACTTGTTTAAATTGGTAATTTAGGTGCTGGAGGCTACTGCACTAAGGAACTGTGCTTGTAAAGTGAATCCAACTTGCTGGACTTCGCTGAAGACCCAAGTGCTGAGGACTTGAGAAAAGCACTTGAGCATGTGGCTCAACAGGCTCCCATTTTGAGACCCGGGACCTTAGTGTCTTGTAAGATTAAATCATAAACAATACTAAAAGGAAGCTCACCCCCCAATAAAACCATAAAATAGATTTATATTGTAGTGGAAGAAAGGTTGAACTGTCTGATTGTTCCTCTTAGGTCAATAAAGTCGGTTATGATTCCTGTCATTTTTATGATCCTCTGTAGTAATGAGAAGTTTTCCACAGCTCCACTTGGCAGGCAGATCAAGGGTGAGCCATTAGCTGAAGCTTACTGTGAGGTGACAAGACACGTAGGGCACACAGGAGATGTGCCTGAATCCCTGAGAAGAGCCAGCTCAAGCAGGAAGGAAACTTCTCCATTGGCTCTTTATGGTTGGCACTTCTCAATCTGCAAGGCAGAGCCCTAGGAATGGGCAGAATCCAAAAGTACATTTTGGCTGCTGGCTGCTGCATGTAATGCATGTGCATTAAAAAATAAAAAAATAAATAAATAAAAAAGTTAACTCGCTTTTATCAGAACCTTTCAAAAGTTAGCTAATTCTGCTTTAATCGTAGCTTTTGTTTGTCTTGTTTTTAATCCTGTTAATTACAGCTTACCTATCTGCAAGTAACTAGCTTCCAGATTATCAAGACTGCTGCCAAAATTGCATAGTTCATTAAAGTCTCTGTAATATTAGCTCTTCTTTGCAGTTCTAATTTAAATAAAATTCTTGCCAAATATTTTTGGAAGAAAAAAACCACTAATACTTGGTGCATCTGTACCCTCCACAAAACATTTTTTTTATGGATGTTCATTTGCAGGCATTAGCTGGAGTAAACTGATTTGTACCTCTCTTAAATTATGGAAATTCAGGGATTACAGCTAAGGTGTTTCCATATTAAAAAGTTGGGTCTTGTGGTATACCCTTAGAATGGAAATACTCGGGAGTTTACGTTCTTCAAATCACTGTTTAAAATTAAATAATGCCTACTTAAAACTGCAGTTTTGATACAGTAGGTGTCTGGTTTGTATTCTCAAAACAGTTCTAGTTCCTCAGGTCATATACAGACTTACTTTAAAAGTAAGTCTGTTCCTAATTGTACATTCTTCATGTGTTCTTCTGTGTAGGGCAGGACTGATCATTAAGTGCAGTGTCTTTACTGATGTCTAACAAAACTGGAGAAGATTAACGACTCCTGCATCGGAAGTCTGTTTATATAAAATCATTATACAAACAAATTAATAGCAGTGCAAAATATTATCGTTACTTTGAATAAATCATTTGCTGACGTGTGCATAATGCATTTTTTTAAATACCACAGAATGCTTATAAAGAGTAAGTAGTTGATCTTAATGAAAACAATGATAAATCTTACACTAATATCTGCTGCTTTCATTCAAAAGGACCCTGAAGCACTTTGCAGACTTTTATATATAGGAACAGAAATTAGAAATAGAAAATTACACTGAGATTTCATCAATATCCCGTGGTAATAATTACAGGATTTGATCAGATTCATTCATCTCCCATTTGGCTATTAATAGGAATATGACACACTCTGAATTCAATCTTTATTCTCTTAAGGGGATTTTTTTTTTGGTGAGGAAAAACTTCAGAGACTTTCTCCATCCTCTTAATGTGCAAAGTCTTTCAATACCAGCAGAAGCATTATCACTTCTAGGAATTGAGTGTTCCAGCTGGGATTATTTCTGAGTTTGTAGTACAAAGTCAAGCATTTTAATCAGTCTTTGGATTATAACTTTTTTGACTTTGTCAGCACTGATCAGAATGTCCGGAGGAACTACAAGTACTGCAGAAAAGCTTGACGTAGCCACTCAGTTTCTCAAGTGTATTCATCTCGTCAGTGCATGTGTGGGGCAAAAGCTGTCATTACCCTTTTCTATTGAGAGCAATGAACTGTTCAGGTCCTGTTAGAGGAAAGCCAGCTCTGCTCCCCCAGCCTAGTACTCCCTCCACAGTGGCTCCTCTGCAGAGGAGAAAGTCTTTCCTGCAAAGATGAGGCAAGTAACTGATTATAAGAAAATAAGGCTATTCCTGCAATAATACTTTGTTTTATTGCTGTGGCAATAGCTTTGCAGTAATCATACCATTAAATAAATAAATAAGCCTTTAATATAAGTGGGAAAATGATCATTAAAGACAGGTAGGGGAAACATTACTACTCCATTTCCTTCAAAGCAGTGGAAGTTACTGGTGATAGGAAGAGGACTGCCCTTTGGCATTCTTCTACCTGAAATGTTGGCTCATTTTGTGCGAAAGGAAGGAAAGAAGTGCAATGCTAGTAGTTTTCTTTTTGCCTTTCTTTGAAGGATTCATTATATTAAATGGATGTCCCCGTCCTTAAAGCTTTCTTTGAAAGAGTAGCAATCAGCAGAGAAAGCCAATCTCTGAGGAAATACTCTAGGAGAGTGAAGTGATGACCTACATCTATCCTGTCTTAGAAGGGAGGCTTTTCTGGCCTCCTGTCTGGCTTTTCTCTTAAGCAGGAGCAGGATGCTAAGACTATCAACCTGGCTGTGTTATTCACTCTGATTTCTTTCTTTCTTTCTCTTTCTTTCTTTCTCTTTCTTTCTTTCTTTCTTTCTTTCTTTCTTTCTTTCTTTCTCTCTCTCTCTCTCTCTCTCTCTCTCTCTCTCTCTCTCTCTCTCTCTCTCTTTCTCTCTTTCTCTTAGAGAGAAAGTCTTTAATCTCCCCATTCTTAAATCCCCTGTCTGCAAGATGAAGGTAATGATACCTGTGCATTGCAACCTGTTGATGAAAAGTGATAGACTGCAACCTAGCAGAAACTCATAAGGGTCTGCTGCTCTTCTTTTTCCTTCCGTGAGATCATGGTCAATGATCTCTACAATACAAAAGGTCCAGGGAGATAGGCAAGTACTCTGAAGGGGAAAAATATACAGATTTAAGAAAATACTTCCCTCTTGTTTTCTAAAAACATGTGACTGTTTCAAAACTATAGTAATTAAATCTCTATTTATTCTCTGCATCACAGAGAAAAGTCACCAGATCAGTGAGCTGTCATTCTCAAAAGCAATGGTGATTTTCTTCATTAGCTCTGTTGCTTTTCCTTTAAAAAGGGAGTTTCATCTTCTCTCTCCTCAGAAGGGATCAGTGGGGCTAGTGACTTTGAGACACCATCTCTAGACAACTGGAAAGTTCTGGGCATTATTGCAGGTCACACAAATACACATCGTGCTTCCCTGTTAATGGTGACCTATTGATTCAGATCATTGAGTTGTCCATTTCAGAGATGATGAAGACTTTCCTGAAATCCTTTCCAAAGCCCAGTTATATTCTTCTTATGCACTTTAGTATCTTCTATGGAACCTGAACTCATCCCTCTTCTTATGTTATTGTTGAACAAGAGTATTAATTTCTAGATCCAAAAGTTGTCTACTATAGACATTTAATAATATGGCAAGGCACAACTAAAAAGAGAGAAGAAGAAGACTCATTTGCTTCCTCTTACTACTGCTTCAAAAAGCATCATCTTGATACTTAGAGTGTCTTTTCCTGCATGGCTGTTTCTGGCTACCTATGTTTTGTGTAAAACAAACAAACAAAAAAAGGCACCTGACTGAGAGGTAGCTAACTAAATTCGTTTTGTTTTATTTTCTATTTGGAAGGGGCAGCCTTCAATATGCCAGCTGGAATCAGCTTCTGAAATTATAAAGAAAAAATGATATATCAATGCCTAGTGATTTGGTCTAGAAAGCTTTCAGGTTGCTCAGTATAGTTGAAATGAAGAGCTTCTAGACATGACTGTAAATTGAATCTTAGGAATCTTGCTAACTAAAATGCAGCTACATACATACGTGTGTTAGATTCACAAATTTAGATATTTGGATCTAAATGCAGAAAATGCCAGGACTGAAATGATAATTCTTCCCATATAATGATTCTTTTTTTTTTCTGTTTTATTAGCATAATACCAAAAACACTGCATGCAATGGAAGTGCTATTTGCTTGGTCTGTGAGGCTGCATCTTTAGGATAGTAATCAGCTACAGATGGAGCAGACTAGGCAGACTTCTATAAAGTGTTAGCATTTCTTGTTTTGCTCTCTCAGGACACGAGCAAAGAAATCAATAGCGACCTATTGCCCAGCTAATATGGAGCAGGTCACTCTAGAAAGCCTTAAGACACATACAGTTCGAGCTCAGCTCAGGACTGGCTATAATGAAAGCTGTTAATCAGCTTTTGTTCATGTGTGACAATAGCTGCTGTCCAACTGCTTTTCAGTCAACACCATTATTGGTATAGTAGATAAGCAGATGCCATTTGAGACCCATTTTTAGAGGGTAAAATTGTGTTGTGATTGTGTTTATATTCTTTCAGTGATTCAGCCATTGGACTATTACAATAATGGAGGAAACATTTGTAGGTATTCTTATATATTTCACAAGTAATTTCCTTTTTTTCTTCTCTCTCTCTTTCTCTGTAATTCAGGAGAAAAGACACCGGGATGTTGTCATACAAAGAGCACCTCCCAGTGAGTCAAGTCGTGGTGGGAGACATTGACCGACCTGGCTCCGAAGCCAAGATATCTGTGGGTCCTGTGCGTTGTCAAGGAGATAGTAAGTTGGATGTTATTCTTCCCTTTGCTTCTGTGTGGAAAGCAAATACAGTGGCAAATTGCTGAATTTGTAGACTCCCCAAGTAGATTTGGAGAAGTAGTTGTCTGCTGAGACACGTCATCTGAGGAATTTTGCATATAAATTGGCATGCATAATGGCTTATCTGTGCATTTAAAATGTGGATATTTGTCTTTCTTCTATGGCAAATATGGCAACTTTGATTATTCAACTAAGTTTCTTTCAATATAAAACAGTAATACAGATTGCATAGACACAGCTCTCAACATCTGTGCTTCTGTTGAGTGGTGTTGTCAGGGCCATTAACATTGTATATCACTGTAAACAATGTTTATAGATATATAAATAGTAGCAGGATGGCAAAGCATATCATGGTAAACTTTGATTACAGCTGTATAAAGTTTGACAAGAATGTTATCGAGTGCTATCCATATCCGGGCTAGACATTTCCATGCAAAACAAGGGTTATTTTCTGTAGCAATCTCTTGTTTCCAGGTTGAGTGCTGAATTGGAGGTTTGTATCCTCCAGTTTGAGCAGCAGGTGATAGAGTAAATCAGTATAATGGATGAAATTTCCACTTCACAGGGCAAAAAATGTAGGGAGGCAGTTAAGAGAATTGTACTCTTCCTTCAATCTATTTTATATATCACAGGGTGAATTTCAGTACTGAGCTCAGAGCAACTGTTTAAGGTCTTTTTCAGCCATGCTTTAAAAACTTAAGCTATATGCCATTGGTGCACTCATTATACTCATTTTGTGTTTTTGGATGAGGTACTGTTGTAAGAGGTGCAATGAGGAAAGATTGCCTGATTTCATTTGCAGTAACTACTGTTTGCATAGTCTGTGCTCGGGTATAGGTAAAGAGTATGCTAAGTCTGCCTATGAGATTGCAGTGAGGTAAAAATATTGGAGAGATGAGCATAATATATTTTAGTTGAACAATGTGCATCTAAACTGCATCCAACATGGGCTTGGGCAGTCCTCCCTTCTGTGCCTGGTTACAGCTGCATGCTTCCATTTGCATGTGTCTAGGTGCTTTAAAAAGGAGGCCAGCATCATTATCCCTGCTTTAAGCTCAAGTAATTAATCTGAACTGAGAGGAAATAGTGTACTCAAAGTCATCCTGGCTGTATAAATGAGAGTTTTCTGGGTCCCAATCCAATGCTTGGAACCATAGGCCATTGCTCACTGATACAACTGAACATGCTTAGCCTGTTTTGCCATTTGTGGTCTTTCTGGGTAGCACAAATATTCCCTCTAGCTTTTGTTAATGAATCTGATACATAATTAGCAGGCACAAATTCCATGGGATATTTGCAAACCTTTATATCTCCTATTTGATGCTTGTTATTTCTGGTGTTTGACTAATCACAGTTCACTTTTTTGCTTGCTTGTTTCTCAACTATACTTGGCAAGCATTTTTAGAATAAACAGTTATTACTAGTGACTAAGAAATGACAAATAGCATCTTTCTTGCACCTGTATTCCTCATATGTGGAACATGAGTGCTACTGTAAATACAAATCTCCAGCATGTGACACATTTCTAAGTATCAATGGGAACCGAAGCTCATTAGAGCCAAGAGAAGTCTTTTCCATAATGCACTGAGTGGAAGAGCCATTTGGGAACCTGAATGAGTGTATTCCTAACACCTCAACTAATGGAATTTTCCATCTGAACTTTATAGATACGACTTGCAGTCTAAAAAAAGTTTTGTCAGTGAATATTTGTGTTTACTTCCATGACAATATGTTATTGCCATGAAGCTGTTTTAAGCTTTCTCAGAGGAAAGATAACCCCCTAGACGATTATAGTTTAATAACATTTATGAGTGTTGGCTGCTCAGCCTGATTTCTTTGTCATTGCCCATTTCTGGTAATCCCATATCATTCCCTGCACATTCTCCTTGGTTCTTTCTGGCCTGTATATAACAGCTGCTCTACCTCAGGCCAGTGCTATCCGAGTGTAGCATTGCTGGAAAAATTTCCTGCAGAAAATTCCAAAATTTCAAAATATATTTTGTTCCAAGGAAATGATGATGAGCCAAGATGTTGAATTTATAAAGGATTTTCAGAAAACAGAATTCATCCATGTATTCACATATTGCATGCATCAAACCTGGCATTATTAATACTGAAGTTTTGGACTCTTTTGCAAATATCAGTCACACATATTTTGTGTGTAGCTATCATATCATTTATGGAGAGTGGTAAGTGAAATTCAGTTAGAGGTATGAAGACAGGGAAAGAAATAAAGATTTTTAGTCTGGTTGGAAAGACAGTGGAAAAGGTAAGAACATCTTAGTAGTCAAATAAAAATATATCTATTTAGGAGGCTTTCTCAGTAAGGCAGTGGAGCCTGCCAGTCCTGTGAAGACATTTCCTGAGAGTTGTCTGTGGCACGTGATGTACCAACAAGTAGTCCAGAAATAGTTTGCAGCTCATGAGGGGCCCCGTTCTCACTTCAGAATTACAGCAGAGTATTTGCCATCGAGTTCACTGCTACTTCTGTGTCACATCTGGAGACACTGATATATAATCTGGGCTCAGGCACAGCTGTAGCTGAGAGCTCTAAAAGCACAAGCTACAGAGCTGCTGTCCTGGGCAGTCTGTAAGGACAGGAAGATGAAAACATTGTATTGGAGGGCCAGGAGAATTAAAGAAAGCAAAAATATGTGTTGCCTTATGTGGTTTGCTTCCACCTATGCTCAGGCTAACAGACTTTTCAGCAGCAGTATAAGAGCTTTGAAAGACACAGATTCTTAAAGAATCAATTTATCAATCTGGGCCACACTAACTAACCATCCATACATTATTGATTGACTAAAATAAATCTGAAAATCATTCATCTCAGTGCCATTTGCCTGACACAGACCATGAAACATTAGGAATGTAGTGCACTTACTGCTGAATTGTAATTGTTCTGCTATTGCAAAAACAACTAGATTGAGATTCTTCCATCAGAAATATAGATTTTATTGTGGTCTCACAAATGACAATTTCATTACTCTATTCCTCTGATTTATGACCTGATTATGGCTGCTTTGGGCAAGCTTGGACTGTGGTAAATTTTGGGACTAAAATCAGAAAACTTGGCCATGCCTGATTAGTCATCTTTGCGTTGCAAAACTGTTTTTTGCTTTGACTCTGAGTCACAAACCAATATCTGCATCATAAAAAATAGTCAACAAAAAGAGCCTTCTGTACCCCTCTGAAGATCTGCTTAAGGTACACTGTTCCACCAGAACGATGACTGTAATATATCCATCTGGCCATTGTGGCAAAAAGCCTGTGACTCTTGCCTGGGGCCTGTCTCGTACTTTGGATAAAATATCCAGGGTCTCTGCTTTCCATTTGTTAGCTTGATGTTGAGAAACACTTCCTAAATATCCCTTGATTTTTTCTAAGTGGAGTCTGAACAGCAGGGCGGATTTATGCAATATTATGGAGAACAGGTGCATAACCACAATATTCTGCAAAGTGTTATTTTGGCACTGTATTGCATCTAAAGATCAAGCAAAGGTTTTCACCAAATGTCAGAGCTACCCAGGCAAAGGTAGACTTTTTCTTCGAGGAGAAGTTTCCTTCCTGACAGTGCTCTATGAGTCTTGTACTTACAAAATTGCAAAGACAGATCATTAACAGAGATTCTCAAGTTCATCTAAGCTGAACTATAATCAAAAATATAAACAGGAAAGACGAAGTGTCTATGGAATTTTTGGCATTTCCCAGTTCTTTGACTCCATAGTTGTATTGGAAATGGAAACTGATAAGTTTTGCTCAAGAGACCGTGTTGTGTGCAAGATATAAAATTGGCTAATGAAAAGCCGCTATAGATCATCTTTACTCTTCAGATGTCTTTGCATCACTGATTAGAGCCACTTTACATACATATTGCAGTTGTATTAATATAATAGCGCACAATAGTACAGTAGTCCTCGACTGCACTGCATTTCCCCCAGGCCAGTAACAGAAAGATTTTGCCCATCTCTTTTTTTCCTGCCCCCATCATTTCTACTTCAGCAATTCAGGCTAACTACTCTATGTCGTAATAGATTCGGCATGACCAGATGACACGCACAGCCCTTTTGGGACTAGATGATCTCTTTGTTAAAGTCCCTTTTTAATGAGGAAAAAAGAAATCCGAGATCATATCTGATTATTTTTCCTAGGACTTTTAAATAGAGAAAAGCCCAGATCAGATGGTACATGATTAATCTGGGCAGGTCTTTTCAGAGGCAGTGTGTGTGGCAGACACCACAAAAGTGCTCAGGGTTTCTGCATTAGTAAATACTCTCTCAAGCAAATACACCCTAAAAGAAAGGTAGAAAGCAAGACACCATTCAATGTCAGCACTACGACAGCCTGAGGACTGATAGCCATGAGAGCAGAGGAAGTTCATCAAAGTCTAAAAGCAGTTATTAAGTGATATCATCAGACTTCTTTATTTTGGACAAATTCTATATTTTTACTTTTATGAATTTGATTCTCTGAATAGCCTTACATAATAGAGAAGTTAGATTTTTCTTTTCATGTACAATTTGGTGTCCTCAAAAACACCAGTTCAAGGATGTATCTTTCTTACAGTGAGTACTTCAGCTTGAAATAAAACCAAATCCAGGTACAGCAGTACAGGCTTCCAAAGTTTTAGTAAAGCAAAAGCCAAAATATTGCCCTCTCTTCATGTGTTGCCTCATGACATTTGACAAATACAAGCAAACTGGCCCCAGAAAAGTCCTCAGATACTCCAATAACCTGGGATTTATTGTGCTCAGGTCTTCTGGTGATGTTTCACTTATTGCCATTCCAAATTTCCACAAAGACTATCCTGTGAAACACAGTATTTTAGTTGTATTATGTAAAAAAGCCTAGGGGTAACCATGGACTGCATCCATTCCCAGAGTATGTGATGCAAAATATGTGATGACAATAAAAAAGAGTAACCTAGATGTGTTTCCAAATGTGCAAGTGTCAGCAATAAT